CTGTGAATTTTACTAGTTTTAGTCTCCACTGTATTTATTTAGAGATTTATTTTGCTTGATTCTCAAAGAAACAGGATTCATATAATATGCTGTCTGCTGGTGCCTTTCTGGTTTTCCCCATAAGAATAGCTTTTGAATCTATTGACAAAACATGGTGTGGAGAACAGATCGGAGATGTTAATTTTGTGCCAGTTCCATGACAGTTTTTTATACATAGAAAAAGTAGATGCTAACAGTGCCCTGAGGGGGCAAAGACAGACTGTTAATTCTCACTCGCTTTGGCCATTTTGTCATCCAGTTGACCAGTCAACTTGCATGTGCTCCCTCTCTAACTGATGACGTAATGAATATAGGTACGAGTCTGAAATGTAGCTGTTCAGGGCAGTATAAAAATACAGCTAAGTGCTGAGATTTAATGCAGTAGAGAATATTGGAATGAAAACCCAGCATTCCTTGCGTTGCTTTTAAAGCAACTTGTTCAAGTATCGAATCTCTGAGCAGTTTGAAGTCTTTTTTACTTGCTCCATGTATTTTTCAGAAAAATATTAGAGATGCTGTTTGTTTACTAAAACTGCAGAGAATGCTGTTGTCTAGTACCTATCAGACTTAATGTAATGGAAAAACAGGTGGTGCTTGCCTGCAAATTAGAGAAGACCTGCTCTGTTCTGCTGAATTAAACAACCAAAATACTGAATTAGTGGATTGATCATGCAAGTCTTGCTAAAGCACTTCGCTTACAATATTAACTTGCTTGTGGTAGTGAAGAGTAATGTACTGAGTATATAAATAGGATGGTTACTGCCGTTTGCATCTATCCAAAACTAGAGTTGAGGGACTACGTGAAAGGTCGTGAAGACCTTTGCATACATGCTGTAATTTAGTGATTAACTTCAAGGTAAAAAGTTTGTAGCAGTTAATGTCTATGTATATTCAGTTTTGACTTCAGCTTTTGTGAGGATCTTAATGTATTTTGTGACCTTCTTGAAATTCTTTTTTAGCTTAAAGAATAGACTGCGTCTTGATGGCAGGGTGATACTGAAGATCTCCCTGGTAGCAGACACTGACTTTTTTTTTTCATCTCTAGTTGTAAGAGGGCTCACCAAGCAATTTTCTTTTTTTTGGGTGCAAAAACTACAGTTTCTCTTGCCTTTTCTGCTGTCACACTGACTTTTCTGTCTTGTTACCTGTTAGTAGTAATTTATCAAGGAGGTGTTTGACTCTTTGTTCCTGAGAGAGTTGGGTAGGCCAGCTGGCTGCCACTTCTCAGGGGCTGACTGCTGCAGGAGGTCTCCTCAGACTTCTCCTTTGTGAACATTATTTGTGGTTTTCAAGGGGAAAGGAAAAGCTCGGCCAGCACAATGAACCATGGGTACTAGTTGTTTTTTTTTTTTTGGTTAAAATGTTGATTCTGAGCTTATCACCAGGGGAAAATTGAAGTCAGAAGGCTTTTAACTGTTTGTTTCCTGACTTCCTTTTTCAGTATTTTAGCAAGTTGCACAAGGAAACAGAAAGTTGTTTGTCTTCCAGTGTAATTGGTGGATCAGACATAAAATGTTCTCTTTCTTCATTCTACCTTGCTTTAGGTTGTTCTGCAAGGGACACAATGACTTGATCAAAACAAGAGCAACCAATTGTTTGCCAGAGAACAAGTGTTATATTTTTAATATTTGACTTAGTTTTTAATGGGTAGTGACTGAGGCAAAGTACAGACATTTTAAATTTCTTCAAATATTAAAGAGCTAAAACATACAGGTATAGCAATTGTGTTGTTCTAATTTTCTCTGTTATCTGCCAAGACATGAAATGCTGTTTGTGTGGTACTGTTAAATCATGGTTACTGAGATGCCTAAAAATGTTAGTCTGTAACTGACTTACTTTCCTGTCCTGATCTGATTTTTTCAACGGCTCCATTATTGCGAAATACTGCTTCACATTATTGTGAAACTAGCAGAAAGACTCTTCTTTTTTCACATTTATTAGCTTTCAGTCACAAAAGGTTTCTAACTGTGCAACTGAGGCTTTCAGATTTTTGTGTTCTCATATTAGAATAAGGTTTGAAGCAGCTTTGGGACAAAACCAATGTTCATTGTGTTCACATGAAGTAGTTAAGCACGAAATTTACCAAGAATATTGGTGGACTTGCAAAATTTTCAGTTATCAGAAGCAGCTGAAAAAAGGTAATGAAAACAATTTGGTATGAAATGGGGAAATTGTGCTATGAGGTTATACTGAACAAATTGAGAAGTATGTGCTCGAATGGCAGTACTGACTGTGACTTTGTTCAGCGTTATTTGATTGCAGCCATTCTACGTTCCTGATCTTTCAGTGAGTCTGGAGAGAAACTGGAGAAAAAAAAATTCATGAATGTAGTTATTCCAGATGAGAAAATAACCCGTCGTTTCTCACTCAATAAATGAGTCTATAATACTTACACAAGAGTATCCAGTAGTGTTTCCAGCTGCAGTACAGGCTTTTAAAGCTGTTGAGGTGAATTCATAGGTCAAAGGATCAAGTGGTGATTGCTTTCCAGCATGAAGACACTAGGTGGGTAAAGACCTCCAAGAGTAGCTCTTCTTTGCAAAGAGAAAGGTAAATAGCGGTGTTAAGTGTTTCAGTCACAGAGAGTCTTCTGAACTATGGGTCAGGAGACTTAGTAGTTGAATAAATCCTCCTAGGAGGTTCATGCAGTTTCTGATTGTGTCAAAATACGATGACAGCCAGGCAGATGCTAGGAGAATTCAGAGCTGTTTGAAAGTAGCAGTCTATAGCAGGTTTTTGGCAACCATTAGGCTTTGCAAATTTGACTGAGTAGAGAAGTTTCTATCACTTGTTCATACCACAGAGGTCAGGTAGCAGAGGCGCTCGGTCAAGGGAGAAAGGCTCCAATGTTTGCTTTCAGAAGTGGCTCTTGGGCAAGGTCATGCAGCACTTGCTCCTTTGCATCATGAATGCTTCTTGTGTCCTATTGATGTAGATGCCTTTAGCATCTCAGCTGAGATGCGGTGCTAAGTAAAAGGTAGTAGAGCTGCTGGCTTGGCAGCAACATGTTTTAAACTGCATTTCATACAGTATCAGCATAGAAAAATGTCTTGTTTTAGCCTTGTCTTTGCAGAAAGCATGCTGAGCTTCTACTGTGAAATAAAAATCCATAAACAAATTCTTTTTGCAAGTGGCAGCATGCTTTCTTTGAATACAGTAATTGACAGTGTTTCACACTAGGAGATGAAAGCCAGTTCTCCAGAATGACAGACCTCCGGTTTCAAGCAGAATTAAGCTCCTATTGTAGTATGTCTTCATCATTCTTAGTACCTGTGATGCTTTCCATCTCAGTGGATTCTACTTGTACAATATGCCCTTGCTCGCATAACATGGCAAATAACAACCTGAAAGCTGTAGCCTGAAATTTTTATGAAAATACTCAGTCTTGAACCACTATAATTTCTGGCTGTGCCATGCTGATCTGAGTGTATGTGTACGTCTAGCTGTGTGTTTTTGGGAACATTTCCTACATGCAATTAAAATGTGGTGAGTGGCTTAAGAGACAGTTCAGTGAAACATGGACACAAGCAAGGCGATTTGTCAGTTATATGTCATTAATTTCATAGTGAAGGCAATTACAATCAATGTTTATTTGCTTTGAAAGAGTATGTACTCATGGCCTTAGAAGCTTACAAACTAAGCTGGATTGATGTGGGCAGCACAAACATCAGCGGATGTTTGTGCCTTTCAAGGCCCAAGATGGTGTTTCAGGCAGTGGCATGGTTTACAGGATATGTTTCTCTCACATTTTTCTCACTCCTCCATCTCAGAGCATTTTTTTTTTTACCCTTTCTTAAATACGTTGTCACAGAGATGCCACCAGCATAGCTGATCGGCCCAGCTTTGGGCAGTGGCGGGCCCGTTTTGGAGTTGATTGGAAGTGGCGCGCTCTGACAGGGAGCTACTCCTGGTCTCTTCTCCCAAAGGCAACCCTACAGCACCCCTTGCTACCGAAACCTTGCTGCATGAACCTAATACACTTGTCTAAGAATTTTTTTTGGGAAAAGCAATATTTGCTATCACCCTTCCCTTTTCTATTTCGTTTTATCATTGAGTATTTTGATCTTTGAAGTATATTCTAGAAACAGTTTAGTTATTGAATAGTTATTTTTGTTGGTAGCACAATATGTGCTTTAAAACAATATAGGTCTAAGACTTTTCAGCTATCTCATTCTCTCCTCTAAACATACACTCTCAGCCTTATTTCTGTTTGCAGATTCCCATTTCATCAGAGGAATGTAATTTTGTGTTCAGGCCATATACTTCCAAATAGACTTTTTTTCTGGAGACACAATTGTATACATTGTTGAAAATAATTGTTGGATAAAATTCATAGGCATTTATTAAACATTATTGAAGATAGCCCAAATAATGTATGTCTGTTTGAATGTTCTAGTATTTTTAAGCAAAACCAAAGAAAAATTTTCTTACCAGTTGTTATGATTTAGTAGCATAATATAGTACAATTATTTTAAGAATTAGGTAGTTTTAACACAAGGTGACATCAAAAATAATTGGTTTCTCTTCTTTGCCTCTGGTATTGTTTCAGCTAATGTTTCAGAGCAGGGCTTGTTCACATAACAATGCTATTTATTAATTATTAATAAACTTAACATGCTTGAGGACATTTATGTTGGATATGTAGATTTACTAGATGAATTGTAGAAATTTTTATTTTGACAATAAAAAAATTAACAAAAAAAGTATAGACTGACACTTTCTGAAAAGTCCAGAAAACTGTCTTACTTAAGGTCACTTAATTATATTTGATCCATCCATTAAGGCTTCTGGAGCATAACTCTAAGCACTGTATGCAAAATTAGTTGGCATTCCATTAGAGTTATTTTGTATAAATATAAAAAAACAGGTAGAACTTTAGATTATAACTTCATCTTAAAATTCTCTTATATGTAAGTTTGAAATTGTTTTTTAATTTTACTTTAAACAAATCTGTTTTCTAGAAAAGAAAGATGTAACACAGAGCTTGGAAAGCTACACAGCAAAATGTCCTGGTACAATGGAATTTATCACTCTTCCAGATGGTTTGAAGTTACCTCCTGTTCCATTCACCAAATTGCCTATTGTGAGGTAAGACTCAAAAATACAATCTTTAACTTTGCCACATTACCTGTCAAACTTTAAAGGATACTGGAAGGATGTAGTCCTCTCAGTTTACGTAAGTTGTTCACAATAACATGGAAAAATGTCAAAATGTCAAATTGTTTTGAGAAGTTCTTAGGCAAAAATAGAGCCTTTGAACAGAAAATACTTCTTGTGGCCTTTAGTTTCAGAAGGAGAGAGGTGTGTTTTTTTTTTTTTTTAAACTGTCATTCAAGAGTTTCCAATACAATCGAAGAAAAGTAGTTTGTAATTTCAGCCGAGATTTAAGTTAGATACCTGATCATACTGTGGCTTGGAACTCAGCTGGAACTGATGCTTTTTGTAGCTGTCCCCTTCCAGATGCTGCGTTTTCAAGATGACACCTTCACCAGGCTATTCTAAATCTGTATTCCTTTTTGTGCCTGTGTGCCAAGGCACATGCAGTCAGTCCAATGAATAATACCTTGTTTAGATTAAAGCCCAGCATGAAGTATAAGAGTGTCATGGTTTAACTAACCCCAACTGGCAACTAAGCATTGTCAAGAAGTGGCTTTTTGAAGGAAAGATAATTGCTATTCAGAAGAAATATGGTAGAAGTTATTGAAAAGAGTTCTCAGAGAGATTTGAGTTCTCAGTGAGATGTCATCAAACATTTCATGAAGCAAGGGTTCTGGTATCACAAAGAGGTAATAAAGTGTATAACGAGAGAGTGAAAATTATAATTATTTTCAGATTACTTTTAGTCTCGAAAATGAAAATGAATGTTTTACTCTGACCATTTTTCATGATACAACTAGTTTTACTATGTTCTAACTTCTTCAATTTTTGTTTTCCACATTTACTGAAGAAAGAGACCTTGTCTAACAATTTTTAGTGCGTTTAACATGATAGGTCTCTTCACAGTAACAATTTTGTTGCGTGGGAGATGCTCAATCAAGGTGCAGGTTTGGAGCATATGGTTCTATGTGATCAGATGGAATTGTGTGCAGAATCAGAACGGTCACACTGTTTCCAGTGATGTCCTGGAAATAGTGTTTTGTCTCCTGGGTCACTCCACTTTTAGTGTGTACTCACAGGGGGAAAAAAAAAATGCATCTTCCCTGAGGTCTTCCAGCATTGTCCTCTCAGTGGATTCAGTTAGTGCTGACAAGACATGTGGGATGACTTTGTAGATAACTGCTTTGTGTTGCCTGTTCAGTGGTGCAGTGTATACTTTTGGCTGGAAAACATGCGATGTGGACGTAAGATCCCAAAAGCTTAACTGTTAGAACACAAAGCGACATATTACGGTGGGAAAGTTAGTTGACTAATTTATTATCAGCTGACCTTGGGGTTGATTATGTTTCACAGACAACCTATGTATAGAGCTAAACTAGTCATATTTGACTATCCTAGATCATACCTGCAATGAAGACACATAGGTAGTCCCTTCCAGGTTTTTCTAACCTAATTTAGATACCTGCTTTAGGACAAGTTGAATTACCCATGTACATGGACTGTATTGACTCATTTTCCATTGGCCTTAGGGATGGCCAGTGACAAGGTCAGGTAACTGTGTGTGTGTGTTAGATGAGTTCCCTGGTAAGTACATTCTGAAGGCAAATTCCCAGATAAATACATGGAGGAGGCCTGTGTTTCTTCTTCTGAAAGTTTTTAGCCTGCAAACTTAGTGCAAATTTTAACCTAACCTTTTTTTTTTTTTAGAAAGAAAAATTGAATAGTATTAAAAAAATGGAAGCTAATTAAGCAAACTTGTATAGTCCTTTCTAGTACTTGAGTTATGTGACTGTAGAGAGAAGTTAAAGCAAAAGCTTCCCTGAAAATGTTATTAAGGCAAAATACTTTCTTTTGAGATCAAGAGTGCTGTCAGCCACTTAGTGCCTCTGGCAGATCGCTGTTCTAGCAATAATCTTGGTATTACACAGTATAAAACCAGAACTACTTTCCTTAATCTGTGTATGGTATCTGTCTGCCTTGGCTGTCAAATAGCTGCAGAAACGCGATGCTAAAGTTCTCTTGTGAGACTAACCCTTAACTTGTGCTAAAAAAGCAGCATTGTGTTTAGCTGTGAAGTACTAAATCCTGAATTAGTCTCAAGTTTTTGCTTTTTGCTTAACTTTTAAACCACAGAGGAGGTGGATTGTACTGGATGTATTTCATAGTGCTTTCTTGTTCTTCTGCATGCTCAATATTGAAGAAAATTCAACCCTGGAAGATACGGGAAATGCCAATTGAATCCTTTTTTTATAGGAGTTGTGCATATAGAGACCAGTCAAAACTTTGGCAGCAGGTTACCAAGACTTCAATGGGAAAGGCTCTGCCTCACTGCAGATGTTTTGTACGCTGGGAGAAGGGGACAAGCACATTACATTTACTTTTTATTCCGACAGCTAGCTTTAAGAAATTGCTCACCATCCAGGTGCTTCCTTTACACTATCAGCTTGCGCTGACCCGGCTGTGGTGGGAGTGTTGAAAATAGTTGCTACTGTTTTGCCATGGGGTGAGGAACCCAACATCAACATTATTTAAGTTAAGAATTGCTGTTTGTGCTCCTCTCCTCCTCCCTCCTCCTTCTTGTCTTTTGAGAGTTCTATAAAAGCCATAGTGATAAAAATACATAATCCAACAAAATACTAGTTGCATCTAAATATAAAGCTTCCAGTTACATCTACACAACAGACCTAGTGTATTGTAGAGCTGTCCAGCTGGTTGGAAAATAGCTGTGCTGCAGGACTGCAGAGCTCTCTGAGCTGAATCATGCTAAATTTTGAGACATAAATTGTAAGTGTGTGGAAAGGTGGTTTTGATCAATGTTGAATAACCTAATCTTATGATTCAGTCCATGCTAAAGCCCTGTAGAGACACACACAGTTACTGATGATGATGAGTTCTGTTTACTGTTGGCATTTCATGGTCTACTAGTTTTTAATTCATTTAATGTGGAATGCTTATTTTGGATGCAGATTTCTTAATCAAAATACTGTCAAGCATTAAAATGCCACAGTGAAATTGGAACCTAGTTGCACTGTTACCTTTTTCTCCCCCATACCTATAAAGCAATAGAAGAGATCTGGCTTGGCAAAATCTTTATATTCCATTACTCATCTTAACTAGTATTTAAGGTCTAGCTGTCCTTTATTTAAGTATGGTATTCTTTATAGTCTTTTTTTGTGTGTATCATGTCTTTTAACTAGATGCTTGGTCTATTATTGACATGCTTTAAATATTATCATATTGTTATGTGGTTTTTTTAGCTTTTTTTGACATTTCAAATCCTGTAGTGCAATCTGGAAAGCCGCTTCATGAATTTTTATTTGTTTTGATGAAGCTTCATAAATTAAAATCATGTTGGTTTGGAAAGTATTCGATTATAGCATACTATGAAATCATCATCTAGTATTTTGTCAAATAAAAAAAGAATAATTTATTGTCTTTCTAATCTAATAGATGCAGTATTCCCATTTTCATAACTTACCTGTGTTAAACTCATTTTCTTACTAATATACTTCAAAGAAGAATTTTCTTCCTTTTCACCACTGATGTCTTTAGTTGTCCTTTATATACTTTTCTTACTACTTTAAATTCACTTGGTGCCATTTTTTCCTTCCCTCTGTTTACTTAGTAGAGTAGGGTTTTTTAAAATTATTTTCATTTCCCCTTTAAGCAAGGTTGTTTTTAGTTAATACAAATTTTTCCAAATACAAGATTTTTATCTTCTGGGTAGCTAGTGAAATTATTTTGTAATTCCTAATTGTCACTCATTTGAATTCAGTTGGGCCAGGCCAGAGTCTAGAAAATGTATGTTATTGAAGCTTTTCACACAAAGGAATTAAAAAATTTGCCACGTTCTGTGTATGACCTGTGAGGGTATAGCTGTCTAACATGTGGTTGGAGGACATTCCTTCCACTGTCAGGCATTAAGATAAAACAAGTTATTCATGGGTATTTATATAATAATGATGGATGAACCAAAGCACTCCTCTCTCGCTATAAAATAAAATTCCTTTTTATCAGCACTTTCTCAAATGTAATGTTTGTTTCCCCAAATAAGTGTCAGTTACATGTTTTGGTTTAAGTTGCATTCTAATTTGTAACAAAATTCTATCAGAAGTTTTAAAATAGGAAATATTCAGGAATCTGTCATAGTTTCTCTTTATTCCTCAGGCTCGTTGTCTGTTATTTTGCATTTGTTTATGATGCTGATACTAAGTATCACCAACAGATAATATATGGATGTGATTGATTTCTGGTTCCAAAATACTTTTAGTGTTATCTAGTAACTTCTTATCAAGTGTTTATATCACAGAGATAAAATGTTTGTGTAGTGTTACTCTTACAGGTTCATTATTTTTCAGCAATAGCACGTTATCATGGTATTCTTGTACGTATGTACTTTTTATTAGTGTGATATTGATATAACTGTTCTTTATTGTGCTGAGTTCCTAAATGTGCTGAGGACTTAAATTACTTTCATGTTCTCAGTAACAGTTTATTGTTTTGACACTAAGTATAATTCTGTAACTTTGGTAAGTGAATGACTTCAATGATATCCTGTAAGTGATGCAAAATGGTTTTAACAAAATACGTATCTGCTTTTCAAAGTGAAGATACTTGATTTTAAGTTGTTTGTATGACCTTTACAGTTGAAGGCGGCAGGTTTCTTTCTTAGTGTGCCAGTGCTCTTGCCATAGTATTTGAAGAACTTCATAAAACATGAGAACTTAATCATGTACTGTAACATTTATAATCTCTTTAGTTTATTATGGCATTCTCAAAGAATTCTAGTGAGATAAGTTTTACTGTGGGAGGTGGACGTAGGGAAGGAGGGAGTTAATCTTTGAACAAGTTGGGGTTTTCTAGCATTCTTGCACTTGGCCTCTTTATAGGTTTTAGAACTCTGGTAGGGTTTTAGCTAGACTTTGTTGTTGTTCATGTCTTGATACCTGCCTACTGTAAGTATCTTTTAAAAGTTTACTGCTGGAAAGTTTTGTA